CAACATGCCCAGCTCCATATTCATATTCATATTCATATTCTTTCTCTCTTTCCCTCTCTTCCTTTTTCTACTTTAAAACCCTACATTTATTTATTTATTGATGTGGGGAGTGGAAGGAAGGGTGGGCGCACACACCCCAGTGCATGTGTGGAGGTCAGAGGTAGAAACTGGCTCTCTCCTTCCACCTTGTGGGTCTGGGGGATCAAATGCAGATCTTCAAGCTTTGTGGCAAGCACCTTTATCCATTGACCCATTCACCAGCCCCTTTTTCTTTCTTATAAGAATGTTGACATTTATGGACTTGTTCAACTCCTGTGTAAAAGAAGAGGGAATCACCATGCAGGATGGCCCATGCCTGTCATCCCAATACTGGGGAGGTAGAGGCAAAGAAGATCAGGAGTTTAAGGCCAGTCTGGGCTACCTAGTGAATTTGAAGCCAGCATGATGTATGTGAGACAAAAATTGGGGGGGGAGGGTAGCTGATTAGTCATAACTCCTTTGTGTTCTCTAATTCCCTGAATCTAGTCTAAATTTTAATTCCCTTTAACTTTTTTTTTTATAAAGATTTTATATTTTTTGGCCAGGCGTGGTGGTGCATGCTTTTAATCCCAGCACTTGGGAGGCAGAAGCAGGTGGATCTCTGTGAGTTCATAGGCCAGACTGGTCTACATAGTGAATTTGAGGCCATCTGGTGATACAGGGAGACCCTGTCTCAAAATGACCAAAAAAAAAAAAAAGATTTTATTTTTTATATACAGAACTAAACCTGGGTCCTCTGTAAGAGCAGCCAGTGCTCTTAGCCTCTGAGCTATCTCTCATACCCCCAACCCCCAACTTCAACTTATTAAAAACCATTTTTCCCCATTCTTCTTGTCTTTTTTAACAGGGTCTCTCTGTAGCCCCAGCTGTCCTGGAACTCACTATATAGACCAGGCTGGCCTTGAACTCACAGGGATCCACCTGCCTCTGCCTCCCCAGTGCTGGGACTAAAGGCCTGAGCCACCACTCCCTGCTTTCCACCCATTCTTGCTCTTGTTTTCTTAGATAGAGTCTCATATAGTCTAGGCTGGCCTCAAACCCATGTATCCTACATTGGTCTTGAACTTCTGATCCTCCTGCCTCTATCTCCCAAGTGCTGGGTTATCAGGCCTTAGAGTCCACCACTTGGGGCAGAATTTTAGTCTTGTAGGTCTTGTTTACCGACAAGACTTTTTTTTTTGGTAGATGGATCTTACTCTCTGGTCAACCAGGAGCAGGAACCTGAGAGTCTTGCTCTGTGGCTGCACCTAGGATCTGGCCAAAGTGCCTGGGGTACCTGGGGACATGGGATTAAAATAAACCAGGGATGGAATGAGGATAGGAGGGTAGACTCGACTTCCTGACCCCCCTCACACCTAAGCGGAAGGGTGTTTGTGCAGGGACTGCCTCCTCCCTCTGCCGCAGCACTCCCCATCCTCCCTACCCCGACCCCACAGAAATAAGATACACCACTTATTTGGGGGTGGTAGGGTACTAGCTTTGCGAAGTAATTCAAGATAGGAGCCTGGATTCCCAGAGCTCCTACAAGATGCTCACGGAGGATCCGGGAAGCTTCCAGAACCCTGATCTCAGGTCAGGGAAGGTGCCCCCCCCCCCAACCCGTAGATTCCCAACACCCAAGGCGCAAGGCGCACTCCCCGCTAACCCCCAGCAGTGGGACCAAGGTCCTCCAAGAACATACGGGGAGGGGCGGGGAATCCCCGCTTTCTTGTGGAAACTCCTTGATCTTGATGCCTTCGCTCCCAGGACGCTGGTTCCTTCCACCTCATTCCACCACAGTTGGCCATCTCCAAAGCTTACCTCTCTTTACCTGGAGACAGGGGCTGGAAAGTAGAGCCCTGCCCTCTTTGGTTTAGGAGGGAAGGTGGGGGGAAGCAAGAGTGGACAGATGTCCAGACTTTTTGTGTGAGGTGTGTGTGTGTGTGTGTGTGTGTGTGTGTGCGTGTGTGTTTATGTGTCCCTCCCCAGTGGAGGTCCATGCATATACGTGTGTTCCAGGCAGTGAAGAATGGCTGCTCCTGTTGTGGACTGCACAAAGAAGAGGGGCAGGAGCATAGAAGGGGACTCCCCACCCTCGCCTGTCCACTTGAGATTTTGAATGGAGCTTGAGGGGGAAGGGCCACAGGGGGAAGGTGTTTTAATGCAGATCGCCCCTTCTCCCCCTCCCCCTCCC